AGTCCTCAAGTATCTGGCTGGGCTCTTGGGATATGCAAATTAGCAGGACTGGAAGGGGGTTTACCCAGCTGCAAGGCTGGCCCATCTTAGGATGGACTCAGTATCCTCTGGTATCCCTAGCAACACCATGGGAGCACAGATTTGTCTGTAGAGAATGTGTTTCTCCCTTGAGCCATAGGACAGAACCAGGCTGCTTTCCCATGAATACAGTATTATTCTCATATTTCAGAACAAACTTTACTCGAAGGCTGTGGCCTAATGTCAGGGTCACTTTAAGAAGGAGTAGCTAAGGGAAACATATGGCTTTTTCAAACGTAACTACTATGTTACTATACTCACCACCACAGCATGACTAAGATGGCAGCAGGGGACAGGAAATACTTAAAACCATATACATAGTCTGGGTATTATAGTACGTGGGAATGGGGCAGCAGTAGGGATACATGAAAAACAACCCAAATTATTTCCTGCTGCTTTGACACTCTCACACACTGACTTTTCAGGACTAGTAGGGATCCTGATCTACATAGGGCTGAAATATGTCAAAGCCTGAAGTCATCTCAAAACCATTTCTAGAAGAAATTCAGGCTTCATCCTCTCAGTTCAGGTGCATGTCCCAGTGACTGTCCAGCTTCTTCGCTCCTCCTACATGTAATTACTAAGAAGGTCACATGAAGCTTGGATTCTATAATGATGCCTAGAGTGGAATAGGCTCTTCGGTGTTTCTCATGCACAGCAGGGCAGAGCTGCTACTCATTAAACTGAAGAAAATAGGGTTGACTGCCATGAATGTGTTAAATGTTTAATAAGCCCTTTAAAAAATGAATAACTGTGCTTCTAACTTATATTAGATAGAGAAGTATGATCTGAAAAAAAAAACATTTATCTGCTGTATTAGGAGCTAGAAGTAGTCTAGGAAAACAAGAAAAGAAGCATCCTTGATTTAGGAGCTCCATTGCTTTCAAGATTTGAGAACATGTGGGCAGTGAACATAAGGTCTTCCTATATTTTCAAGCACTGCAGTGGATGGGGAAGAACAGGAACAGGGACCTGAATTGGAGCTGTGTCAGGCTCATAGCGCTGAGAGCTTCTGAGCTCTGGCTCCAGACCCTGGAGGATGCAGCTGCTCCACTGATTCATGGGGCTGAGGACCTGGGCGAATCATAGACCCTGCCCATGTTGCAGCCTGGAAGAAGGTGCAAAGAAGGAATGCATTCAACACTCTGTGTGCTGAGCAGCTGGAAGGCTCAGGTGGAGCAACACTGGGAGAGATGCGGACCACAGAGCTGACCTGGCTCTGGGAGCTGAAGGTGCCCAGAGCTGTGCTCACTGCTCCTGAGGAGCAGAGGCCAAGAAGAGGATCAGCAAATGTCCTTGAACCCAGAGTGTGACTCACTCAGCTTCTGATCTGCTTAGAATGAGGAAAAGCATCCATTACACAAACAAATATGGCCATCTCTTATTCAGTGTGTGCATGCAATACATTAACAAATGGTATAATTTAGCAATGAGTGATAAATTTAATTGCTGCACAACATATCATTTTAAATTTCACAAAATGAAAATGAACGCTGAGAGCCCATAGTCGCCACATTACCTCTGAATCCTCTGCCACTGCAAATTCTGAGCAGCATGAAGCTCACAGTCCACTCTCTGTCCTGTGGATCAAGTTCGGACCTGTGATCATAGCTAATGACTCTGGAAAATAGGAGGGAACAGGCCTGCAGTCACAGCCCCTCTCCTCCCATCTGCCCCTCCTCTAAGTGACTGCTCAGGTGCTTCTCCTCTGCAGCTCTGAAAGGAGTCCTCTTCTGTTGGATCTGTCACCTACACCTCTGAATGCATGAGGCCTCTTCACTCCAGTTTCAGTCACAATTTGCCACATTCAGAGTTGTAGTCCTCACTGTCTCACCTGTCACGCTTCATTGCTGAACATAGGCCTCCTGGGAAACCCACCATAATCAAGTGCATTTTCAGTCACAAAGTAAAACAGGAAATACTGAAGAACAGACAGATGGGAAAAACCTGGCACATTGTGCACAGAGGCCCCAGTAATCTGAGCTTAGAGAGCTGGGCAGAGAGCTCCCTGCCTGCGTTGCTCCCTAATGTTAAAGCATCTCTTCTAATGTCCTGCTGTTTGTAGCTCGGAGTTTTCTTTATTGTGGGGGAGGACTTTAAACATGGTAACTTTTTCATTTTGGAACACTAACACTATGACTGAATGTTTTCTGCTGTAGTGTTGAAGCTTTACCTATTCTATCATTTTTCAGACAAGATTCTACATAAAATCAGGGGTTCCCTTTTAATAACTCATACAACTTCTAAGGACAAATGATCAATAGTTCACCTAGAGCTCTAAAAATCTAATAACCATAGGACAGAGAAAACTACATGGGTAAACCACATGATATGACATAGATTTAGTTTTGGTAAGAGCAAGAGTTCTTGACGACCCTACAGGAAATATCTTTAGATTGAAGAATCCTGGCACAGATTTATTAAGGCCACCCCATTCTTCCTATTCCAGAGCATCTTACAGAGCATCCTGTGAGAACACAGCAGTTCCCCTGGTCACTCCCTCAGCAGTGCTCAGCGGTTGAAACTGTGGCAGCTGAGATGTAAGAAGGCCAGAAGTGTACTAGGCTCCTGCTACGCCTGCTTCAGGTGGATCCTTGTCCTGAGACAGTGAGCAAAGTCTGCTGAGAGCTTGAGACCGGAAGTACATCTGGGGATCAGGCAGAGAAGCATTGTAGGGTGTATATCAAGGTCTCCAGGTTCTGAAAAGAGGGCAGCGACCAGACTTACATGTTTGCTGAATATATAATTATAATTTCCACTCTTGAGGGAGTAAAATCTTCCAATGAGGTTCTTATATTGATTCTTATATTGTTGATTTACTTTTATAATGCCTATAAAAAAAAAAACTACCTTTTCAGTAAACACTTATAGAATTCACTGAAATGTCCTTGTGTATGCAGGCCCCCTGATTGTTCCCTTGGTCCTTGCAGGGTGACTTCAGTCATGTGGCCATAGCAGTCACAGCATGTGGTGAGTGATCACAGAGAGCTTCACTGGTCAACATGGAAAAACAGTCTCGCATCTCTGGACATTGTATCCAGAGCTTGATTTTAACAACTTGTGACACTGTTGTAATTAATTTCATTTACATGAATATTCTATCCTGCACTTCTGGCACCCTACTCAGAGACCTGGGAGAGCAGCTGTTAAGTAGGAAAGCAAATTTCTACCCCTGTGACACACTGTTGTGCTGAGAGTTCCTAACTTCTTTTTCATCAGGAATTGATCATTTTAGCTTACAGTACTTATTTTTTTTTGTTTAAGATTTCTCTTACTTAATGCTTGACTGTAAAAAAAGACAGTTTATTATGTTATTTATTAATGGTTATTAGTTATCACTATCTTGCCATGTTTGTGTGCTTGACATGTTTTAGAACTTATGTTCATTAATAGCGACCATTGAAAACGTTAATGCTGATATACAAGAAATTAAAAATTACTAAAAAGTAGAAGATAAATAACAACATTGTATCACTGGGATGAGGAAGGAGGGAATAAGGAATATAGCATATGCCACAACCTGAGATATTTCTGGAAAACAATAGTGCAACCTTAAAGACTGGGTCCCCACATTGGCTGAAACCACCTACAATGAAGCCATTTTGGTTGGAAAAATAAAGAGCATGCTGAGGACCCTACCTCAACTGTGCTACCTCCATTGTGCCCCCAAAGATTTGACCCTGTTGTTCACAGTGAGCTAAGCATGTATTTATGCGAGGTGTTCAATTTGCACAGGCATGAAAATCACAGGGCAGGATGTGAAAATAAGGAGGGGAAATGCATTTCAGCATGAAGTGTAACAGGCTCTTTTCATTTACTGTGCTCAAGACCAAAGGTGGCCTGCTGGGACTCTCCTGAGTAATAGAGAAAGAACCCATGTTAGGTTCAGGGAAATAGTGAATGACTCTAAGTGATATAAGCGAAAACAGTGAGAGTTCTAAATTTCCAGCTGTGAATCCAGTTAAAGGTAGGGGCAAACTATTGTAAAATTCCCTCACCAAGTTTTAAAAACGGTAGTAGATTATTACTCCAGGCAAATCTGTATATTTCTGGTGAGTTCTGAGTCAAAATCAATATATTGAAAGTTTCTATTCCAAAACCATAACTAAGCCAAGATATAAAACGAACGTTGTAACTAAAAAGACGTGTTTGTCAATATTTTTAAATATGCTGTTGCTTAATAGAAGGTACTCTGAGATTACTTTTCCAAAAAACTTTTATACTATAAAAGAAAGATTTTGTCCCATTCTGGAAAAGGAAAAAATGCAAGAATGGTAAAACACAAATCACTCACTGGATATCAGGGAAGGAGAATGAATGGGGATAATTTTTAAGGCAGAGGATTTTTAGGTCAGTGAAAAAATACTGTGTCATACCAAAATGCTGCATCTATATTGTTCCACATTTTTTTGTCCTGGTGAAGTGTACCACACCAAGATGGAATTTTCATGTGAACTATTGATTTTGCATGTCTTTTATCCCAATTGTTTTTTTTTTTTTAAATGTCATTGGAAGTTGATGATAGACTGCCTAGCCATGTGGGCTGGGTTATAAGGGCCAACTCTGAATTTTCAACTTTCTTTATAGCCTTAAATGTAGTGTAAATTGAAGCAGATCTTTAATAATTCTTGCTTAGAATACAAAGAAGGGCTTCTCAGTTGCTGTCTGAATCCAAAACGATGCCACATCCTACACTACTCAGAGGTGCTCATCTATGTCTTTCTTTAAATTAGGACAGGTTCTGTGAATCTCTCTGCTACTGGAGGTGAGGAAAAAGAAAGATTCAGGATGTAGAGGAGAATTTGGGGCCATTCTTCTAAAGCCTCCAAGTGAAAGTCCATCCCTGGCTGGGCCCTAAAGGCTCTCAGAGGTTGAGCCCAGCAGGGGTAGGAGCTGGGGTAGCCCAGCCTCACACTTCTGCTTTACTGACTGGTTTTTGTTATGGCTTGTATCACTGTGGGAGGAGTATCATAACCTTGCTGACAGTAATAAATAGCAACATCTTCAGGCTGCAGGCTACTGATGGTGAGAGTGTAATCTGTCCTAGATCCACTACCTCTGAACCTCGATGGGACCCCAGATTCCAAACTGGTTGCATAGTAGATCAGGCGTTTAGGAGGTTGTCCTGGTTTCTGTTGATACCAGTTTAAGTAGTTGTTAATACCCTGACTGGCCCGACAATTGATGGTGACTGTGTCTCCCACAGATGCAGACAAGGAGGATGGAGTCTGAGTAATCTGGATGTCACACCTTGCACCTGAAATTAGACACAACAAGTATCAGCATAAGCATGGTAAAACATGACTTCCCTGTAGAGCCAGGCGATTCTGACCAGGGAACTGTAAATCCACTAAATCCTAAAATCAATCCTTTATCACCTTGGAGCCAGAGCAGCAGGAGCCCCAGGAGATGAGCAGGGATCCCCATGACCATGCCGTGTCTGGAATGGGACTGACTCCTGAACAGGGTGTGAGCAGCCTGTGAAGAAATATTTAGGGCGTGAGTTGCGCTCTGTGCATATGCAAATCAGCAGAGACTGTATAGAATTGCACACAGCTGCAGGGCTGCATCATCTAAGCAGTGGTACGTTTTTTTAGGGCCACTTCCAGGCCTGGGTGGCACAAGATTACCCACAAGAGAGAATGTGTTTCTCCACTGGACCACGGAGCAGAATCCAGCTGTTCTCCCATGAGTAGAGTGAACGTTGTCCTAGTTTTAGTTCACAACACACTTTGTACCTTTGAATATAGATGGGATCTATAAGTTCTCTCCCTTCCCTCTCTGAATTAACAAGGCTTCTTCATCTCTGACTTACTGCTGCTCACATTCAGACCTGTGTACCTGCTTATCTCACACTTGCTGTCTCATTGCTCACCGAGTTCAGGTTCTAAGAATCTTCCTGGAAGGGGCATCATAGCCAGTGCATACACATCACAAAGTAATGCAGGAAATCCTGAATACGGGGGAGACATGGCCTATTGTGACCTGAAGACCCAGCCATGTGAGCTTAGAGAGCTGGACACAGAGCTCTCTCCTTTAATGGGAAATTCTCATTTCAACATTCCAGCACTCATTCCAACATTCATTTATTTAGTTTCTAGGATGAGGACTCTGTCTTTGTGTATTATGTGGTTTGTTTGCCATTTATTGGAGGCTTTGAAACAAAACAAAAGCCCTTTTTGTTTGGGGCCCTATTTTCTTCACTGAATCTCCCCTCCCAATCCCGCATTCAGGAACCCGATCTTATTCTGCCCATTACCAGTCAAGGGTGTATAGAAATTTACATGATTCAGGTTCTTAATAAATCATACAACTATTAAGGATTAACAACTAATAATTCTCCTGGAATTAAGAAAAAAATAATGGTCACAGATTAGTTAAGGTCGAGGTATGTGACTACATGAAATGACAAAAAGATAGTTTTGGGAAAGAGTGGGGGACCCAGAATACCCTGCTGATTGCAGTAGTAGGAAATGATTCAAGGCTGAGGGCTTCTTGTCCAGGGGTCTTTTCCTTCCCCTCAACTCTAGGCAATTGCTTGTTAATTTCACAGTATTCGCCTTTTGAAATTACTGTGCCTTGCTGACTAAATAGAGCCCCCAAGGCAAACTGCAAAATTTCACCAATTTGTAAAGGACAAAGTAGGAAATCCTTAGATGGATACAAAGGAACCTATCTTCAGTGGCTGTTCATTTATTTAGAAAAATTCTTATAATTGAATTTGCAAGTGAAACAATGGCTCTGAAATTTCAGCTCTGATGGGCCGACCAAACTTCAGGTTGTTTGTGAGGTTTGTGACCCATCTGCACCTGCAAACATCAGAAGAGGGTGGTGGCCCCCAATCTCCCTGCTCATCCAGGCTGAACCAGTTTTTGTTCTGGTTTGTGGTGTAGTGTGAATACTCTATCCTTAGTGACAGTAATAACCTGCAACATCATCAAGTCACAGGCTGATTGTGGTGACAATGAAATCTGTGCCAGATCTATTGAGACTAAACCTCCATAGATCCCTGAGATGGACTGGAAGGCACCCTTAATGAGGAACTTTGGAGTCTGATTTGGTTTCTGCTGGTACCAATGTAGATCAAAGGCAGTGTTCTGACTGGCCCATCAGGTGATAGTGGCTGTCTTCCCATGCATCATAGACTGGGCAGCTGGAGACTGGGGCAGCACAGTTTCACTTCTGTAGGCTGAAAGTAAGCATCAGCAGAACATGACCATGTGCATATGAAAATCACAGCAAATTAGTCCAAAAGAAAACAGGATATATTTTTACAGAGCTTCTAGGAAGAAGGAAGGAAGGAAGGAAGGAAGGAAGGAAGGAAGGAAGGAAGGAAGAAAGGAAGGAAGAAATGAAGAAAGAAAGGAAGAAAGAAAGAAAGAAAGAAGGAAGGAAGGAAGGAAAGAAAGAAAGAAAGAAAGAAAGAAAGAAAGAAAGAAAGAAAGAAAGAAAAAGAGAGAAAAATAAAAGTAAGGGATTTAAGTAACACTGTCTCTTTGAGCATCGTCCAAGTAGTTGCATCTGGAAGCTACAATAGTACAACCCTAAGGAGCTATAATAAAGACATCATCTTAACTTTTGCATATCTATTTTGCTCAGGCTGCATCCCAGAGAAGGCGCTTATAACATCCCAAATGCAAGGTACTTCTGATGAAAGATAAACACAGATCATGGGGACTTCTTATTGATTTAAATGTTAGAATTTATAGATCTCTGTTTGCAGTGTTTCCTGTCCTCCTCTGCTGGTCACTGCTGAGCAAACCTGTGTTTCTGAAGAGGTGGCCCCTTGCAGGATCAGAGGCATGGATCAGGGGCAGAGTGGAGACACAATCTGGCCCTGTGCTCTGGTACAGTTCTCAGTCATCTGGAATGAACAGTGGCTCAGGTCTTCAGCTTGATCTCAGGCTATGTTAAAACCCCTGGTCCTTGTTGCAAAACAGGTGGAACAAATTCATCACATTAACTTTCCGTGAAACATCTTCTCATTCCACATGATATTGATGACTGCAGGTTAATTAGATTTCCTGAGAAGGATAAATTGTAACTATTTTGACTGTCTAATTAAAACACTTGCTGTGCAGAGGGTGGAATGGGAAGTGTACAGAAATTCTTGGGACTGTCACATTGGTAAAGGTGTCAAATGTTTTGATGTATCAAATAAACTGATTCATCCTCTTCCAAGGAATGACAGGTAGTTGCGCCTTGCCATATGCTTCAATGTTGTGGGGTGTATTTGCTTTTCACCATAGTCTCCAACTAACAGAATGTCAGCTAATAGTTATGGCAGGATATGGAAGTGGAATCTCTCTACTGGAGCTAACTACATGTAAGTCAAAGTTCTGTGTTCCTTACAGTATTTTTGTACTTCTATCTGTGACAGTACAGTAAAATAAAAAGTTAACATAGATCATGTGTAAATGTGCAAAAGGCTTTAGACTAGAAATTATGGCATCTCCAGTAAACTCTCTGTTATATCAGAGTGATTTTGAGGTAACTGAATATTATAGTGCAACTTTCTCCAAATTATTTCAATAAAAGAACAATCAGGATTTGCTATGATTTAGATCAAAATGTCCTGCAAAGTCATAGAGTACAAAAGTGGGGATTTCAGAAAGCGATGGGTCCATGAGTGCTCTAACTTCATCTGTGAATTAATCCATTAATGAGGTCAGAAGTTGATAAAATTGATGGGAGGCATTGGAATCTCAGGTGATGTGACCTGGTTACAGGAGCTGGATGATGAGAGTGTGACTGTATGACCTGTATCTTATTCTTAACTTCTCTGTCTCTGTCTCTGTCTCTCTGTCTCTGATTCCAGGCAATGAGATAAGTAGGTTCGTTTGTCCAATCCTTCCTTACACCATGGTGTTTCTACATCATTATCTCCTTAAAAGCATTCAAGTCAACAGACCATGGACAGAAATCTCTAAAACCATTAGCCAAAATAAACCTCTCTTCTCTTAAAGAGTTCATCACAAATACTTTGTCACAACAATGGAAAGTTCTAAAACAGAGTCTTATAGGATTTATCTTGAAATTGAGAAGATGTTTCAAGTGTATAAAAGGTATAGTTAACAAATGAGCTGAATGTTTAAATTTAAAAAAAAAATCACGATAAAAATGCAATGCCATGGATCGTCCTCAAAATACTCTTTATTACTTTGTCTTTACAAGGTATGACCAAAAATTAGTGAAACCTGCTATCAAGAAACATATAACAGAAAGCAGCCTCTTGTATACATTGTGATTTATTCTGTTACTTTTTATTTATTTATTTATTTTTTTGAGACCAGAGCTAGCTACGCAATTCAGCCGGACCTTAAACTCATGGTGGTGACCCTCCTGGCTCAATCATCTGAGTGCAGCGATTTACAGGCATGCATCACCATACCCAGATCAAAGTGTGACTTCGGCTCTTCCCAAAGTCAAAATGACTCTGACAGTTAAACATTGTGAACTGGACATCAAGAAAGTCACTACAATGGAAGTAAACATACTCAAGAAAGAGGACTTCCAGAAATGCTTCAGAAAGGAAAAAAACAACAACAACAACAACAACAACAAAAAAAAAAAAACAGTAAAATGAGTATGCTTAAAGCAAGGGGATATACTTTGAGGGAAACTGATGACAATGTGTCCTTTATTGTAATGTTTTTCAAATTTCAGTATTTACCATATTTTAGATCACACTTCATATATATCATTTGTATGATTTCCTTTTCAAAATAATTTAATACATAAATCTTAAAATATTATGCAATGAATGTATATACGTAAGAAAAAATCTGAGAAAGAGAAAAATTGTGAAGAATATGCATTTGTTTTGTCATTTTTAGACAGGGCCCACTATGTGGTTCAGGCTGGCCTTGGGCTCATGTTGTAGGCCAGGCAGTTCGTGAACTTGTAAGGATCTGCCTGCTTTACCTTCCCAAATGCTGGGATTACAGTACTGCACCACCACACCCAGCTCAGGAATATAGTGATTCTTAGTTGAGATGAACTATTTAGTGGAAGATAAGCAAATGGAGCTATGAAGTTCATCAAGTCAGATAAACATTGTTGCCATAACTTGCACTCTGCAAGCTGGAGTCTCATGTGCTGATTATCTTACTGAAATTGATAGGTGAATGAGTGAGCTAACAACAGGAAAATAAGAAAGAGGTGCCACTGCTGATTATTATTATGATTGTTTCAGTCATTTATTAGAGTTCAAGGCCATTGGGGTGGGGGAAGAATGAGGAAACAGAAAGTGATATAAAGGAAAAAGGAAAAGTGGCAGTAATAGAAAATCTCATGCAGGTTTCAAAAGAAAATTTGTGTCAAGAGATTTGTAAAATCAGTGGCATGGTGGGATACACCAGGCTGCATATGAGAATGGAACTAGGCTGTGTAGTAAGTGGGAAGGGTAAGTACAGATCCAGCAGCAGTGCTGGTATATAAGAAAAATAACACTGCACTCGATCAGCCAAAACATTGAAA